GATTTTGGATAAATTAAGGGTTCTTTTTTGGAATTTCATGTGATGTGATGCAGATTCACTGGTCCTATTCCGGGAAGCATAGGTAACATCAAGTCCCTTGAAGAAGTTATTTTCTTGAAAAACAAGTTAACCGGCTGCTTACCTTACCAAATCGGGAAGCTAAACCGAGCTACGGTATTCGATGTCGAGTTTAACGAGCTAACCGGTCCGATCCCCTACTCTTTCGGATGCTTAGACAAGATGGAACAGCTCAATTTAGCTAGAAACAAGTTCTACGGTACCATACCGGAGATAGTATGCGAGCTCTCAGCCCTCAAGAACCTTTCTCTCTCGTTCAATTACTTCACGCAGGTCGGTCCAAAATGTCGAAAACTTATCAAGGGAAAGATTCTTGATGTGGGTATGAATTGTATTCTAGATCTTGCGAATCAAAGATCGCCATGGGAATGCGCCAAGTTTTTCTTGACGAAACAGATTTGTCCCAACTTCAAGTCTTTCTTTTATATCCCCTGTGGCAAACATCCGCACCGGATTAAACCGGATCAAGATGGATTAGACGGTCAGGCTTTGCCGCCGGTATCTTACGGCGCCCTTAATCCGAACCGGATTCAGAATCCCTAGCCATAACCAATAATATTGATATTCATGACTTGATATATGTTATTGTGACCTACTGAATAAATGCAATATATATTTGTGTGTATTTAATTTGAATCATCATAATACAAGTACAATAGGTTTTGTCTTGATCGTACTGGGTTAAACCGGGTTGGTTCTTTGCGAACCGAAGTAGGATCTGTTTAGATTAGAGTTTTTATCATTAGTATAAAAGTAATCATTAGAGTCAAAATTTTGAGAGAAGTGAGACAAAGGTTACAACAAACACAGAAAGCCCAAGTTGGGTCGGTTTGGTAGATGGATGACCATAGCTTTTGGTAGCTTCCGCGGTTAGTTTCGCAATCATCATGAATTTCGATTCCTGTTTCGGCTCTTCTTGCTTCTCACACGTCCCACTCGGCATGTTCTCCTGCACAAACAACGTTAAATTAACATCTTCTAAAACATATACTAGCAAAATTCACGTAATCATAGAATACTAACCTTACAAGCCGATATATCATCGCAACCACATACTGAGTGACCATTTGCAACATCCACTGCTTTCGGAGCTCCTCCACCATCGCTTCTCTAAACCATTCACACACACATTAACATTACTCAAATGTTACTTAAAGCGGATCAAATCTCACCAAAACTAGACCATATTATATATTACCTTGTAGAAATCGACTGCAATGAAGTTAGGCCAACGTCCCGAGGCTTCTTGACATTTCATGATGGTTTCAAGAAGAGGAGCCGAGTTCTGTTTACAGGATCCGATCACATCCGCAGTATCCGGGAAATAGTTCACTAGAACAAGTGATCTTGATTTATCCACCATAGCAGCTGATTCTGGTCTATTGGTACACATTCCAGCTTTCATCCCTCCAGTTCCATCTACAAATCATAGCATTATATCAATTTCTAATATGTAACAATATTATGTATCAATTATCTATTAGGAAAATGTGTATCGAGATGGACTCACATTGATTTTCTACCATGTATCTCCATAGAAACGCGATTCCTTCTGAAGCTTCTTTATGAGGACTTGACGTGAAAACTAGCAACCGTTGGTTCTGACTTGTCATATCATCGAGAGTAGGCCAATCCTCTCCGTTCTTAGGCATTCTTGTGACCGGAAACATGAAATTTCGTAATCCGGATGCATCAAACACTTTGGTTAAACCATTAGGGGATTTCACATAGTCCTCGAGGATAAGTGTCACAACCACATCCTTGTTCTTGTCTAGAAACACTTGAAATTCCTTTAAAATGTTAACCGCGGGTTGCTACATACAAACCAAACACCTTTAGACATTAGACCGATCTACTTATATCATTTGAATCTATGGAACTTACGAATGCCGTGTAATTGAAGCAATTTCCGCCGTAAGAATGGCAAAGCCAAATATCGTTTTGGAAGTCGTACATGTCTAGCATAAACCCTCTCACACCATTCTACAATAATTTAGAATCAAATTAAAGAAATGTTACTTTATGAAATAAGTTTATGATAATGATCAAGAAGAATATTTACAATGAGTTGGCTTGTAATTGAATCTTGTTGGTTGGAAGGAGCAAGAATCATTGATCCTGTGCCTGATTTTGCACCAATTCGAGCAAATGAATTATGTGTTGTCAACCATGAGTATTTGTTGTAAGGCAACCCTTTTACCTTTTTGACACATAAACATGAAAATGATCAATTCATTAATCAAATACTAAAAACCTAAAATGGTTAAACGAAAAGAGAAAAAGAAGAAGAAACCTTGGTGGTGGGGTTAATGGGTTGCATTCGGGAGCATCTAGGTCGGAAATTATCGCTTGCGAGACAAGACTCGCAGTGTAATCCCTGATCACAATTCTTGTTTACGATGCATGTTTCTCCTTCCTACCAAATTATCAACACAAAGATCAACACATTTTGTAAATTCAACAGAAACCCACGATTCAAATTAATAGGGTTTTTAGGTTAGAAAGAATTGTCACGATTTGGTTACCTTGAGTGCATAGGAAAGGCTAACGAGGAGAGAACATGAAATGAGAAGAGTTGTTAGAAAGAAGGTGAATCTCTGAAACATTGTCTTCTTTCTCGCTACAAAATCCCATAAAAGTTTAAAAAAGAAAAAAACCCAAAGATTTTGGGAAGAAACAATTTTTTTTTGTTTTTGAAACTTTGATGCAAGTGTTTTTTTTAGGAAAGAAACAAATTAACAACTACTTTGTAATCTCCACAAGACTTTCAACCGGAGATTTGCATTTGGCTTGACCAACCATCAAAAGAAAAAGAAGAAGAAAAAACTTTTAAGTCTAAATTTATCTTTTCAACAAAATTAAAAAAAACGAAGGGTAATTGCGAGCATCTCGGAGACAAATGATGATATTAAGAGATGGTTCTTTTGCCATTTCCTATCAAAAATCTACTACTATATATAAAAGCACGATGGCACATCAGCAGGGAAGGAGATGCCACGTGGAATCTCAAAATCTGAAAAATCCAAAAGTTCTTTTTTCGCCGTCTCAAAAGTAACATGCATGGAAATTGAAACATCACAAATGGAAATCAGAGACTGTTAATAAAAATCTCATGAGTTATGTCATGGTTTTGCCCTCTGGTTCATATTCGTTCTGCATCTTTGTGACGCTGATCGATGTCGGAGAGGAAGATGTGTTTGCCTCGGGACGCTGATCGATGTCGGAGAGGAAGATGTGTTCTGCATCTTTGTTTCTTTGCAGGTATCTTTCATGGTACAGTAGTGATCACTTTTTGCCATTAAGATTATTACCAGTAGTGTTGCAGTCATGTCTCTCTTATGATCATATCTTAACTCCTTAGGATTTACTCATGCTTCAAGCTGAACCGGTTTGAGCATTTTCACCTATCTTTCGATTCTTCCACGGATGCGTTGAAGGTAGTACCAAAAAGGTATTCTCAGTTCTCTCACTTGCACTGCCAGAGACTTTTGCCTTCTCTTCTTCATGGTTTATTATCTTAGTTGAAACAAAAAGCTTGCCTGGTGATCCTTAATTAATCCACCAATGATTGGAATACACTGGATCTTTAATTTGTGAGCGATTTTGGACCTTTTCCTCTTACTAGATCTCGATCTTATTACCTCATAGAGCTTATCGTGATTGGATACAAAGGGAATATATATTAACCTCATTTGACAAGGATTAATATGGTTCCCGTTCGGGCGGCTATTTAACTACAGGTTTTGAGTGCTACTTTAAGTGTTGTTGATGTCTGAACTGTGAATTGATAAGAATATAGTGTTGAATTATTTGTTCCTTCACACTGTATGTTTGAAGTTGGGTTGGACCTACTTTTTCCAAAGGAAATCAAATTAAACTTTTCTACACAAAAGAGCTTGACTATATTTTTGCTACAACAGGTTCATGACCCATCAACATTTATAAATACCTGAACAATCAAGCTTGAACAGGCTCTACTACAATGGTGCCATCTACATTGTTGTTTCTCTGTTTTTCTTTCACTTAGCCAGAATCTGAAAGGTAAAATATGCTTGAGAAAAATGGAAGAGATATAATTCCCTTTTAGGCTATATAATGGGTTTT